GGGGGGGGGGGGGGGGGGGTCCTTGCAACTGCTGCACATGTGAAGTGATGTGAACACTGTAGTCACTGGATTTATTCGAGTTTGTAAAATGAAAATCAAAAACAACAAAACCTGAAATACAGTCTTAAAGACAGCTGCAATTCAGTGTTTGTGATTGACAGGCCGTGAGTGTGTTTCCACAGAGAAACGACCCAGGAGTGATGTTGTGTGTATTAGCTTCTTTTGTTTGTCCTAAAGTCTGTATATGAGATCCTAGTCCACCCCGGGGCGGGAAAAGGTCACACAGCCTCTCCCCTTGGCCCTGCCAGCATGCACATTGAAGCTCCGCCAAGCAGTAATTATTAATGAAGAGACCTGAGCAAATGGACAGGAAATGCAGAGGTATTGATTGGGCCGGCTGCCCTGCTCTAAGGCATACAGGCAGGCGCCAGCCTGGTGGCCTGTGGTTTCCCAGGCTGCTGTCTGTGGAGGGGGGCGGTGGGGCAGCTAAGGTGTGAAACCAGGCCACCACTGGCAGCTGTCTGTCACATCGTGACCACAAGTGAAGGACACAGTGGTGGAAACATAGGGGCACTCAGAACTCTCCCTACAGGGACTGGACTTAAGACGTGGTACTGATGTTGACGTGGACAGGAACAGTAACAATGTTTAATGTTCAATGTTCAAAGTTACTGATTGCTCAAAAGCAGCTGAAACACCTGGGTTCTCCAGTCAGTGACAGAGATACAAGAAAAAGTCATAAAGTCGGGTTCCATCAGTACCAACAGTTCTCGTCTTTTCTTCTCTGAATAAAACATTGTGGTACACGAATGAAGACAGGAGTTCCGTTCCCGACTTTATTTGCTTTAAGTCGGAATCCACATGCTGTACTTTTTAACCCTGCTATCCTGACTTGCTTTTATCACACTGACCATGTCATTTTTATATATACTTAAAAAAACAGTCAAATGTGAATCATTTTTGAATATAAACTGTGTGATGTGTGACCTATTTTGCTGTTAAATGGCTATTTACTGACCTTGTTGTGTTGTGATGATGTCACTGATTGTGAAAGAAATAAAAGTGTGAACTGTCAAAATTTAAGTTTAATTTAATTTAATTTTTTTTTTATTTTGTCAGTCAACCCAACCCTCCCCCAGGCTGGAGTGCAGTGTTTTCTTAACCTTTTTTGAGCCACGGCAAATGTACTGTATATCATCAGGAAAAACCCCACAGCACACCACCCAACAGAAATCTTACAATGAAGTATATGTAATGAAATATAATAATCTTCCAGTTTAAATGACCTCATAAATGACTCAAATCTCAGCCTGTTTAGTTAAAGATAACATTGATATACTGGCAGGAATTGAAGAAAGACACACAAACATCTTCTTTAACAGCGCTGATTTTCTTTTAGTTTCCATAGCCATCTGCTGCCACCTAGCAGAAGAGGATTTATTGCTCTGCCTGTCACACATTGACGAACACATCATATAACAGTTGAACGATCAAACTAAAGGATGGCTTTCCTTCCAGTTTTCTTATGTTTCCATCACCATAGTTTGTCAAAACTGTTATGCAATGAAGTATAAGTCTCCTAGAAAAGTATTTAGTATTATTAGGAGGAAGACATTTTATTTTATTTTATTTATTATTATCTTTTCTTTAACGGGGTTTGGTCTTTATACTGTTACTTCTACATGGGGTATGCCAGTGATACTTTCTTCTGTAGATGCAGTTGGAGTACAGTTACATTTTAGGGCACAGATTCACAGAAGGGAGATGATGATGATGATGATGATAAAGAACATTCAGTCTTGTTCTCTAGTGTTCTATGAACATTAAGTCACCTGTCTCAAAGTAACGGTGCCAGTGAGGCTGCAGTGACAGAGGTAGAGCAGACCTACAGTGTGACTGGACATCGTCCACTCTCTCCGCTGCCCGGTCTTCCTGAGAACACAGAGGAACAGCGTGTGCCAGGGAAAAGCCTCGGGCTCTTCATGAAATATTTATCCTCACAGTGTAGAGACGCACGGAAAGTTACGCTGAAAGTTAATAGGATTAAACAGGGACAGAAGCTGAGCCGTGGCTCAACTATAGTACAGCACAGCACCTTTTATTCACATATAAACTCGATCCACTGTTGTGTAAAGTCGTTTAGGTGCTGAGGTCATACAGTATGATTCCAAACATTAGTCATTTCAATATGACATGAACAAAGTTCCAACAGTTTCATATCCTGCACAGTAAATGTCTCTCTGTGTTATAAAAGAAACATTTGGCAAAACTGTGACTATATGGGTCCTCGGTTTAAGACGTCCTCGAGCTACAGCATTCCAGGGTTACGATGCCATCTGCTATAAATTATTAAGAAAGTGTTGTTGCATCATTCCGCCATTGAAACTCGCCAACAACTAGTTCCTTTGTACTTGTCGGTTGTACCGTATACATTGGATTGTTCTACATTCACTTTCATTTGTGTTGTTTTTTTGGGAACTTTTTGCCCTTCGTTCTGACTCCCAGGTGTCAGTCAGACTCTTCTGATGTTTTTATGTCCTAGACTATGATGTCACCACTGTGTTAGGTGAGTGACAGGTACTGATGTAGAGTATGAGAGTTCTGACCTACATACTGATGTACAGTATGAGAGTTCTGACCTACGGGAACAGAACTCCAACATAGGTGGAGAAGCCCCTGTGTTTTATAAAACTACACAAATACAGTTGGGCTGTTGTTTTAAATCAGTTTAGTTATTGACAGTAATTGTATGTTTGATTTGTAGATAAGGCTACAAAGATACAGTCACGCCACAAAACCAGTTAAAATGTTTTAACCTATATTCATTCTTTGTGATTAGACAATGTGATAAAACAGTTGCAGTGGTTTTCCCCTCTTCAGTATCTCCTTACTGTTTGTAATCTTTTACATGCAGTGCAGGCTGTGGCTCCAGTTCCCCTGCTAGGTAACAGCCTGTGTATAAATGACAGGACAAACTTGAGTGTGCTGTAATTCAACAATCTCCATTAGTCTTCCTATCAGCGGCCTCTCAGTAAACACCTGCTAATATCATCATATAGCTGATGGTGATGGATGAGAGTCATTCTGTTGAGACGGAACAGTATAGCTGATTGGCTCCCCTGACACAAATGAGCATATTGGGCAAAAATGACACTTTAACGAGCTCGTCATGGTGTTAAGTACCACACACTGGCTCCTTGTCGCGATCCGTGCCCGGCTGACCCTCAGCCCCTGCACGGGGCATCTGCGCTTCATTGACTGACAGATCAGACTGTTAGGCAGACAGCTCATTAGAGGAGTAATGAGAGCAACGGCAGCCACACAGTGTCTTGTTGTGTCATCGCCGGGCTGACACATTGGTGGCAGGAGAAGGAATGCTCCCTGCACGAAAAAGTCAGCGATTAAGACAGAGTTGTGCCCCTGTGAGAGCTCCTCATCATCACAGACTAACTGAAAGTGGTGAAGTACTGACTCATCTAAGTACTCTACATAGCTAAGGTGCCAGGATCTAAATAAAACCCTGACTATACTACAAATATACTATAAAATATATTATTCCTTACAATAACACCATCCTAAGATCAAGTTTATCATTAATTTGACCTGAAAAATTCATTTATAAATCCCCTGATCTTCAACGCCAAAATCATTTCTATAAAAAGTGTACTTTGTTACATCAAGGTGTCAAATTATTGCTGGTATTATTTATTAAATCCGTGTCTTTTAGGTGTAGATAAACACAGTATTCTTCTTTTGATAGCACCCTTTGAAGCAATAGTTTGTGAACTTCTTCTGCAGCACCCCCTTTGGTAGACTATTGTTAAGTCCCCCACAAGTATTATTTAGCTCATCTTCACTGTGCTGTATTTAAAAACCTGTTCACGTTTCCTACATCTTTTTTTATTGTTGTACTGCATGAGACACTCGGGAGTGGCAGAGAAGTATATGAGGGCTGTGCAAGACATGTATGAGGCCAGGGAGATGGTAGTTAGATGTGTTGTCAGATTGACTGATGGGTTTGAGGTAGGGGTGGGGTTGTATCTGGGATCAAATTTTGTTTGCTATGCTAATCTAATGGCCAGGTTGACAGATGAGGTCAGGAGGCTCCATGGATCATGATGTTTGCAGATGACACTGTCATCTGTTGTAAAAGTAATAAAACATTTCATTTGCATCAATCCAACCTGTTGCACATGCTGAAACCTCTCAGCCGTGCCTGGCTGCAAACCCTACTTACTATATTTTCATGGCTGATGTACTTCATACCTCTGTGGTTACTGCAGTTGTACATATTACCTTTGTTATTAGGAATGGGCAGTTGTGCTGATCTTGCCCATTTCTGTCTCACACCAGAACTGTGTTCGGACCAGTCGCGCCTTTTCACTCCATAACTTTTTACCTCTTTCTGTTTACTACATGTTTGCGATCTTTTCACAACATTTACTTCATCTGTACCCTTGCATTTTCCTTAATTCTCCTTTAAGAATTCCATTCATCTTCACTCACACTACTCAGTAAGTATTTACAGTACTAAGTCAATTGTGAATACATCGAAACTAGAAGACCATTTTGTTTTATTACAAATACTTTGTGTGGTATTTTTGTTTAGTGCTGCATTGTGGGATTTTTTTTTTTCTGAAGTAACATATGTGCCATGGCTCAAACAAGATAAGGGTAACACTCGTCTGTACATGTTCACCACGTGTAAAGAGCGTAATGAAAGTCGTGTGTTTAACAAATAATAAAGCTGATACTGAAATATGCACTTTATGGAGAAAAAAAAACTTCTTGAAATAATTATTTTGCTTTCATTCTTTGACGAACCCCAAAATACAGTCACATTTCACTGTGTGTAGACATTTTTATATTCACTCTGTGAGTAGTGTGGCTGTACAGTGGCGCAACTACAAATCACACATCTCTCACTGCAGCACTCTTACTGCTGTTAATCATCACACCAGTTATTTCCTTTCATTTCTCCATTAAGGAAGTCATAAACATTCATTACTGGACGTTTTTATCTCTGATCTCTGGGCTGATAAGGTCATATTACACCAAGTATTGTTGCACAAGTGCAATTTGAGTACATTAAAAAATTTGACTTAATAGCAAATATCTGTACACACAGATTAAATTGTTCTTTATTAGATACGCATGTTTTAACGTGCTTTTGATTAAACTAGATTTAAATGACAGGAATGTTTAATGGTATTCTACAGAAACACATACTTCGTCAGTCCTACGATCTTGGAGCAGCAGAATTTAATTTCCAGAATATTTTTGCTCATAAAGGTTTACAAAATACAACGAACCGTGAGATTTGCGGTATGTATATACTGTACAACTGCGTTTATTTTGATGACGTTTACTTTCCATTTAGAATCAATCAATGTCGAGAAGACTGCGAACATTTTAAGGGACCATTCTGTAATTATTACAGAATCCACTTGAGGGCGACATTGCCCGTATGGTGGTCCTGTAGTTTTGGAAGTACGTACCCTGAAACAGTCCCCTTGACGTTTCGACTAAATCCATGTAAACATTTTTGCTCATGCTGTTATTTCAGTGCAGTCTCTTGTTCGTATTTCCGTTCCTTTTTTTTCTTGCTTGATTTGTCACGTCCTTTGTACGTTACTTACACTGTTCTATTTCACAACTGAAATGAGAAATCAGTGTAAAATATACTATAACTGACGGAAACTGAAATATAATATAATATAATATAATATAATATAATATAATATAATATAATGTAATATAATGTAATATAATATAATAAAATATAATATAATATGTTCAGGATATTTAACTTGATTTTACCGAAATAATCTGGATGGTGTTTGAAGAGTTCTTGGGGACACCTGTGAATTAAAGGCTAAAACACACAAAAAAACGTCTCCAGTGGAAGTAAGTGGACTTCATCCCCCGCCCCTTCCCTACCTCTGGCCCCTCAGCTGTGCGGAAGTGACACAGCAGCTCAAGCTTCGTGGTCACGTCACGCGAGAAAGCACAATAAGCCCAACGAGAAAAAATGTCAACAAGCAGAAAAAGAAGACGACTTTCGTTTTAAATGAAGCCCCCAGTGTGGCTGCGGACATGTCCTCCGAGTCGATTCTAACACCGGGGGTTTTCATGGACTGGTGACGGTGAGCTCCGGTTTTAACCGTTAATTCACCACCCGTTAGAAAGGAGGAGGGAGGCTGTGTCCACGCAAACACAGCCGCGTCATTACAGTTCACGCACAAAATACTGCGCTACCGTACGAAGCGGCTAATGTTGTTGTTTTCGTCATGAAACGCCGAGTGTGCGCGAAACTTGTTAACGCACTCTGATGTTTGGGTCCGTGCTCGAAAGAATGAGGAAGTGGCTGCTCAGAGAGGAGGCAGAGTTGTGGCACTTCTCCATCATCTGCCCGTGTCCACTCTGTCCTTACAGTATGTCCTAATGTCCCCACGGGTCGTGTGTGTTCTCCACAGTAGCTGTTGTGATAGACGTGTCCATGTGATCCAGTGTCCAGTTGCAGTTGCATCACTTTTCTGTTCGTAGTCCGTAATAGCTGCTAACTTTAACACTCGATGTTTATGTCTCCACAAACCTTTAAACGGTGAGGAACAACGATATTCGATATTCCACGTACTGTGTCTAAAGTAAAAAATACAGCAGAGATATTTCTTTTTACCTACATGCAAAGTAAAAGTACAATGGTCGTGTACTTTATTTTTAAAGTTTTTAGCCAACAAACTAACTTTGTCATCTTCCCTCAAAAGTACCATTGGTCACAATAGATGGTGTAACAAATGCTACCGTGTCTGTTGAGCCAGTACACATAGTACTGTAACTTATAACTATGTGTATAATAATCTCTAAAACCTAGTAACTGGAAATTTAAACTGAAGTTGATCTTTTAGATTTATTGACAATTTTATAGCAGAAAATAATTTGTAACTGTTGATGTTTATTTTACTATTATTATTATTTATACAATGTTTATTCTCATCACATAGTTATGGAACATTTGCCACAAACTGTACTCACTCCTCAGTTCAACAACTTCAAAAATAAATATAAATTATATATTTTGTAAATTTTAGTTATAGAGAAGTTGTCTTTTTAAAAAAACGGACTAAAGATTTCACACTTTGAACAGATTGAATCAGAAAACTCAGATACAGCTTGTCAACATCTTTGAGTGAATATAAACAAGGTAATTTTATATGATAAAATTAATATAATACATTTTTGTAAATCTTTCCTTTCTAGGCTATGAATTTCAGTGAGCATGGGGACGTTTCATGTGAAGCAATGCTTGAAAAAGGCAAGTTCTTTAATCTTTGACTTTGCATCTGTAACAATAGACAAAGGAACACAGACGTATTTGGGTCAGGGATATTTTTAAAAGGGAAAAAAGTGGCGTGGGAGAAAATAGGGAAAGTCTGATCATGTGACAATTGATTACACAAGTAACTGGTGAATCTCTGATTATCTGCAGAGGACGAGCATGTCTGGGACATTAAAAAGGAGACAGAGGACCATGTTATTTGTAATCAGTCTGAGGAGAGTGGAGGAAGACGTCCTGAGGCCTGTGGAACCAGCAAAAGGACCTCAGCGGAGGTGGAGACTGATGCAAGCCAGTCTACCTGCAGCAAGAGAGCCAGAGTCTGTGGTGACGTAAGTTCACCTCAACACATGTCTCACATGAAATGGCTTCAAATTGTCTTTACATCATAAAGATTTAGCGTATACATTCTAGTGGCCATTTCTGACTGATGACACCGATCTTTCTACTGCGTGTGTAGAAAATCAGCAGCAAAAAGCCTCGATGCCTTGTTTGATTTTTAATAACTGTACAGTAGTAACAGAGACAGACACCAAGTGTATCTTTACTAAAATATCTAAATATATTAACTGTTGTATACAGGAGGTCCCCAGTTTACAATGTCCTCAACTTACAGCGTTTTGTGGTTAGGTCCCCATCTCCCATAAATGTATTAAGAAGTCTTGTTCCATCATTCCAACGTACAGCGTTAAAACATATATCGTATGGGAGCTTGTTGACGAGCGGAATACCTCATCATGCAAGCGCTGTACATGGAAGATGGTTTTGTTTACATTGGATTGTGCTACATCTGCTTTCTTTCTTTATATATACTGCAGGCTTCAAAGGATTTGCAAATTGGATTGTGCTACATCTGCTTTCTTTTTTTATATATACTGCAGGCTTTAAAGGATTTGCAAATCATTAATGACTCCATTGTAATATTTGTGTTAATGTTATATTATTATCATTTTATTTTTAAATAAATAAATATTAGAAATGGGGGCAGTGGTGGCTTAGTGGTTAAGGAAGTGGTCTTGGGTCCAGAGGGTTCCAGGTTTGAGTCCACCAGCTGCCAAGGTGTGTCTGAGCATGGCTCCGTCCCCACTCACTGCTCCCTGGTTCTTAAAGCTGCCACTGTTCACTGTGGTGATGGGTTAAAAACAGAGGTCACATTTGGTTGTGTGCAGTGGTGAGCTGTGTCACAATAGTTCACTTTCACTGTAAATGTTGTTTCTATGCAGATGAAGAGGCGACTGATAGATGTGAGCAGCAGACATGAGCCACTGTGCCTCACCACAATGGGGGAGAGAAGAGAATGTGTCCATGAGACTGACAGAGTTTCCTACAAAAAGCCTCTCTTCAGCATCTCCCACAGGATCTCAGAGAAGAGGAACACACCTGTGACACCGGAGCAGCAGACCAGCCATCGCGTTGCAAACCAGCACAACCACAGCAGCAGCATCTTCTCTTCTGAGTCACAAATTCTGGAGGAAAATGTCCAGATGGAAGACCTGCTCATCGCAGCGAGTTCAGGTCAAGACTCATCAACAATAAACTCCAGCCTTTATCCCCTGATAGAGAAAATGTTCTTCATTCTCAACACCCTCAGCTCCAGTATGACTCAGCTCCACAGCAAAGTGGACCAGTTGACTCTTGAAGTCATGCGAATAAAACGGCAGGTCAAAACGTCTGAGCTGGTGACGGAGTTCCAGCCTCCTCCTGAATATCTTCTAACCAGCGACGAACTGAATCAGTTGATGGAGCAGACGTCCAATGCTGGAGAACTAGGGTGTCGGCTGCTGGTTCATCTCTTTCCAGAGCTGTTTAAAGCCAGGGAATGCTCTCATAAATGCACAGCCAGCAAGAGAGTGCTGGAGTCTCTGCATCTGCAGCTGATACGTAACTATGTGGAAGTGTGCTACCCTGTGGTCAAGAGCAACAGCATCTGGCAGGAAGAATGTCTTCTGCAGATCATTGACTTCTTCAACCGCTTCTGGACACAGAGGGACGTGGAGAGTTCTCAGTCTCTCAGGAAACAGACACTCACTGGTGCAGCTATTAAAACTGAGCATCCTCACACTTTTCATTTCATCAATGAGCAGCGGAAGGAGGAGCAAGTTACTTCAGATACTCAGCCGAGCAGGCTGCCGTCTGCGACGGACACTGACTTTAGTACACAAGTCTCAGACGAGGTGGACGACTTCTCTTCCCCGGAGGACTCTATAGTTTTTCTTATGCACCAACTTTTCCCTGAGGTGTTTGAAGGAGGCAGAATGGCCGATAGCTCAAACAGTTTGAGTCGAGCTGGGCAGCTGATTTTGGACCCTGACAAAATAGACATAATAAGAAGGTATATGGAGGCAAATTTCCCAGATGTGCCTAAGGACAGCTGGTTACAGGTCTGCATCCAGCATATAGAGGACGCCTTCGAGGGATCCCACAGTAACGGAAATGAAAGTGTACTTGATGACATCAACAACGATGGCAGCGACCTGGCCAGCCTTTCAGAAGACGTGTCTCCTAGTAAAGAGCCAGAGTTGATGGACTACGAAAGACGAAATCGCAAATCCAAAAAGTCACTGTTGCCGCCCGTGGATTTTGACAGTCTGGACATTCCCCTGCCAGACTTCCACATTTCCCAGGAGTACCTTCTGTCCAGGGAGCAGCTCAAGAACAACTACGACTGTTCCCTCTCCATTGGGAATTTTGCCTCTCGGCTGCTGGTGCTTATGTTTCCTGAGCTCTTCACCCACGAGAACATAAGAAAGCAGTACAACTGTAGCGGATCACTTGGAAAAAAGCAGCTTGACCCTGTACGGGTGAACCTAATCCGTCATTACGTGCAGTTGGTCTATCCTCAGGCCAAGAACAACAGAGTGTGGATGTTAGAGTTTGTGGGAAAACTGGACGAAAGGTGTAGAAGACGGGACACCGAGCAGAGGAGGTCGTACCTGCAGCAGCGCAAAGTGTACGGCCCGGAGTCGGAGCAGGACTTGTTTTGTCAGCTGACTCAGCTAAATCCAGATGTCAGGGAGGATCTCGATATTCCCTCTTTACCTCCTGAGAAAAGCAGCAAAGACTTTTGCAGAATTCCTCTGGATGAGTTGACAGTGTGTAAACCAGACTTCCCCGTGCCGTCGGTCTACCTTCTCTCAGATAACGAGGTACGGGAAATCGTCCAGCAGAGTCTCTCTGTGGGTAATTTTGCTGCCCGCCTGCTGGTGCGTCTCTTTCCTGAACTCTTCACCCAGGAGAACCTGCGGTTGCAGTACAATCATTCGGGGGCCTGCAACAAGAAGCAGCTGGACCCCGTGCGCCTCAGACTCATCCGTCACTACGTGGAGGCCGTGTATCCTGTGGATAAAATGGAAGAGGTGTGGCACTACGAATGTGTGCCCAGCATTGACGAACGCTGTCGGCGTCCTAATAGGAAGAAGTGTGACATTCTTAAAAAGGCCAAGAGGTCAAGCACTGTGACCTAGACGTTCAATAATATAGGCAAGTCTTTGTGTCTGTGTGTATCGAAATAATTGCACATTATCTGAGCTGAGAGGACGTTGTTCAAACCTTACACACTGTCTTTTCAGAGTGACGCCAGGCTGTTACTAGTTTCTTTTGTTCTTTTCTTATACTTTGTCACTACAGCAGCAGATGCTGTAGACTAGATGACTAATGCGGGGTGTTTTTTTTTTTTAAGTGTGGTTGTGTGAGTACCATCACACAGTCAGTGCTGATATCTATCACATATAGGCAATAAAAAAAGTTCACCCAATTAAATTCATGTGTAGGATATCAAATGCACTAGCCTTAAGATCTACATTTAGCAAAAGCCACTGAAACCACCACTTGAGTTATACATTTTAATAAATGTAAGATAAGTTGAAGCTAATTATTTAGACAACATTAAAACTCAATTAAAAGGTAAAATAACTGATCACATCATCTCTCTTATATTATAGGTGGGACAGAGAAATGCTATTTTTAAAAATGAGCACTTTTTCTATGGAAGTATACAGGCGGTCCACGGTTTACGACATCCTTGTCCTACGGCGTTGTGTGGTTATGTGCCACCTCCCATAAATTTATTAAGAAATTCTTGTTCCTTCATTCCAACGTACAATGTTAAAAAATAATGTTGATGTTGATGTTTTTGGGAACGTTTTGAGCTTCATTCTGGCTCCCAGGTGTCAGTCAGACTCTCCTGGTGTTTTTATGTCCTAGATTATGATGTGACCACTGTGTTGTGACACAGGCTCTTGGGTAGAGTATATGAGTTCCGTCACATCATCTAACATTAGTCGAGGAATCCCCTGTATTGGCAACTCCTTTTTGGGTCACTGCTCATTGTTTGAGAATCAGAATATGTTCCTGCCATATTTTAGTGTCTTTTCCTTGGGTGCAAACATTCAGCGACACAGGAGTTACCACGACTGTTACCACGTTTATCACATCGGTCAGAGTTAATATAGTTTAAAAGGTCAAAAAGCGCTACTGATGAATGCTTCAGACAGTCCATGTGCATACATCGGGACTTTCTCGCTGCTATGCTGTCAGCTGACAGAAGTAACACAATAGAAGAAACAATAGAGGGCCCTGTTTTACAAAGTATGGTACTGTTCATCTGTCAGTACTACTGTGTGTGGATAGGTTTACTAAGTCAAAGGGCAAATGCATAAACCAGGGGTCACCAACTATATTTGGTGGAGAGCCAGATATTTCTGGACAGACACCTCAGAGACCACTCACTAAAAAAAAATTAAGTAAAAATCTTTTTTTTTTAATTGGATCATAAATAACGGGTATTACTCTTTGATCCTCACAATTTTAGAATCCAGTTATTGGCCAAATTGGATGGTTCGGTTGGCCGGATTTGGATACGAGCCACTCGTATATACAATTCCAAGTTAAAAGTTAGAACATTTGAAATTCTCCAAACTGGAGATTCTAAAGTTCAAATAACAAAGATTTCTACAATTGCCTAACAGCACCAGTCGATGGATCGTTCCCTGGACTTCCTGTCTGGAGTTAGCATGTTGTTAGCCTCTTGTGTGGGTGGGTTTTCTCCAGCTAGTGCAGTTTCCAACCACAGTAATTCCAACATAATTTGTTGTAGCTTTTTTCGCTTGATTATGTTACTGAAGTGGTTAAAAAGTTATTTACCTTGTTTTACTTATGGCTGCCATATTTGCTCTCTACAAGGCTAGCACCAGGTCCCAGCACTGACTGTGTCACTACTTAATAAACCATGTGAAATCTAACGAAGCTAAAGACTTGTGGTGGCATAGATATGAAATGTTAAGACTTTTGCAAAGAGGCTAAATTTGTTTCTTTGCATCTTTATTTTAAGTGAAGGTTCGATGGCACACTAGCATAGCCTTGGTGACATATATGGTAGGCAAATCTGTGTTTCATCTTTATCCAACCACACTTATTAAAAAGAACACCCATTCCCTTGATGTAGTCTTATTAATGTTTGAAAGATCTGAAATTTACTAATATTTTTAACCAAAAAAATCTCAGCACTTATGTAACAAACTTAAAATGTTGTAGCCTTACACTGTAGCTGTTGCCGATTCTTTAGTGCCCAAGGATAACAATAATTAAAAGTGTAGTTAAGAGCTTGGCACATGATTCAAAAAATGCAAAGATGTCACACATTTCATCTGTTATAATTATCATCAAAGCACCACAGTGCGTTTTGACAGAACGTTGTGAGGCTGTTACACTTGGTTATATTTTTTCAGTATGCATTTCCACTATTTTTGACTACACATATGTAGCATTGTGCCACAAGTTTTAACAACAATGTGCTGGTGTTAAAACTTCTAATCAAAGTTTATATTCTAGAGGTAATTTAATGTCACCATGGCTCATGGAAAACCTTTTCTAATAAAACCCTAATCATCAATGACACGAGTGGCTCTATCACATCTATGATGTGTTAACACGAAATGTCAAATTAAAAATTCATTTATAATAAGCTGAGAAAACTTATTATAGGCAGCTCGTCAATGTCATACTTTTCTTAAAGTATGATGTGGACTACAGATCCCCACTCGTCAATGTCATACTTTTCTTAAAGTATAATGTGGACTTATTACTTATTACTTCGTACTGTAGTTGTTCGTGGCAGACCAGTTTTCAATCAGTAAAAGGATGGGAAGGTTAAAAAGAATACCAGTTTTCAATCAGTAAAAGGATGGGGGGAAGGTTAAAAAGAAGTGTTCATAAGAGCAATAACCAACCTGTTCATGTTACGCTGCACTAGTAGTAATATTTCCAGCTAAGTAAAAAGACAAAGGCCTCTTTGGAAAAAAAACACACTGACCCTTTTTTAGACCCACTGATATAAAAAACAACTTTTATTTAGACTTTCCACAGCTAACATTAATTGATCAGATCAACAAATGTTTGTTAAAACATCGGACAATTGTCTGATTTGCATGAAACCACTGGATCTAATCCATTCAGCATGACGGTGGTGTGAGGCCAGTCATGTTAACAGGCATAACATCTCTGTACAGGTGACTTAACTGAGCCGCTGAAACACGGTCTGTCTTGTTTAAGTTCAGGGTTTAAGGGCTTCTTCCTGAGAGAGTTCTATGAATTTCCAGCGCCTTAGAGCAACTTTGTACTTTTCTGTGTTACTTTTCTCTTCAAAGACTTTTCTGATGACAACTCTCATCAGAGTAACTTTGTGGTCTGATTGGTTCTCTGAAAGCACCATATCCAGTTTGTCCCCGATTTTCACCTAAAAAAACCCCACAAGAATAAAATGGGTTAGAGAACAGATGGAGTAGCAGGATTTAGTCGTCTTTGATACGTTATATTTAAATATAGGCATATGTTACACTTTTCAAGGTATCACTTACTGTTTTACTTTTCTTGATAAGTCTCAGTCCATTCAGTCTGAGTTTGTTGCCATAAAAGGCGTCTTCAATTTTTCTGCACAAAAGATCAGAAACAATGCTCATACATATGGGATGAAAAGATTGCTGGTGATTATGGCAACATTTAATAGAGGTCCACTGTCCAATATCTCCACCGTAGAAACACATGTTACTGTCAGTTGACCAAAGGTGAAATTTGTCAGGTTTTATGGCATAAAACATGTTCTCTTATTTGTACAAAATTTGTAAAGTACATTTAAAATGACCGAGTATCTTTTTACCCTTGACAGTAATAATATGTTTGGTTTGATGGGGAACACATGGGTAAACATTTGTCATTTTCAGGTTTTAGATTCTTCTTCTTCTTCTTCTAGCTGTTCCCTTTAGGAGCTAACATGGTGGATCATCTGTCTCCATCTCACCCTATCCCCTGCCTCCTCTGCTTTGACACCAACCATCTCCATGTCCTGTTTCGAGACATCCTCCTCTCCTCTTTCCTGTCAACTCTCATCTCCAACATCCTTTGTCCGATATCTCTACTATCTCTTCTCAACATTTGTCCAAACCATCTCCATTTCTCCTCACTTTATCTCCAAACTGTTCCACCTTAACTGTCATTCTAAACTGCTAACCTCTAATATATATATATATGTATATGTATATATATATATACAGTATATTTGCACAACTATTAAAAAAACAAGTCCATTTCAGCCTTTGCAGATAGGAGTCAAACTCACTTGTGTGACAGGTCCAGGCCAGCACGAAAAATCACATCGTAGCGGAAAGACTGCACATATTTTTCCAAGTCTTTATAATCCTTTGGTAGATTTGGGTCCTCTTGCAACTCATCTTCATAATCACTGTCCTCTGGATCCTTTTCCTTGTCTTCATCTTCCTCCTCCTCTTCCTCCTGTAACGCCCTTTCATCTTCCTCCTCCTCTTCCTCCTCCTGTAACGCCCTACGTGCACCTTTCTTCTTGCTGCTCTTGAACCTCAGATGATGAACTGACCAACTTCTGACGGGGTCTCTGTTGTGTAAAGTCAACCTGTGGCAGCCTATTGCTGGAAATGCCAAACAGCCGGACAGCTGTCGGGTGTGGATGGTCCTGGGACACCATGTGGTCTCCCTTAGTCCGTATCCAGCAGCCAGCAGCTGTCTGTGGTGCAGCCTCCCGAGCTGCCTCATGGTCAGGGCCTGCACCACCAGATTCTGCATAGCAGTCCTTTAAGCAGTCGCTAGAAAAACACAAGATGTCAGGAAGGGTTTTTGGTCATACATGTTTGAAATCTCTCACTACACCTGGACAGAAGTAACGGAACTTCATCTCACTGGTAATCTTACCAAAGCTCCAGCCTCTTTGATGTTTACGTTGTTGGCCAGAATCAAGTGAACAGACAGGTATTTCAATGAGTGATCGTACCTTACCAATTAATTATCTCATTCTGGGCAAATTAATAAATTAAAGTTGTTTGGAAAACTTGTTGAAGTAAACTGGAAGACTAAGGTCTGCTACCTTATTCTGTGGCACTCAAGAGTAGGAGACACAAAGAATAAGAAGGCAACATAATAGTAGTAGAAGAAGAAATTACAAAGTATGTAGTTTTTAAATTGAAAACAAGAAACACCATTGAACAGATGACAGTGGCAGCAGTGGCCCCCAGCTCTATGGAGTTGTGATGTTCTAATTTCAGACTGTATTTGTTAATGTCAAACATTCCCAAAGTTTCTCCAGGGATCTGGCATTATTTATTAACAGTTTATTTTTGCTGCAGATGGCTTTGACCCATCCCAGAGTGCAAGGGCAGATAAGTGATCTGCCAGTGAACCACCAGCAGTGACTATAGTTTGCCCTTGATTCGTGTCTTCTCAGTTATTCTACCGTCTCGTCTCTTCCTACCTTTATAGGGTTTTACCTGATTTTTTGTGTCACAATTTATAGGTTTAAACCTTCAGCATACGCCGAAATTAATTGTTTACATCGCAGCAAGTGTACACAGCAGTCGTCAGTCTTAAGGTTTTAGCTCCGCAGCAAGTGTACACAGCAGTCGTCAGTTTTAAGGTATTATAGGACTTACGGGCTGTACAGGAAAATACCGTAGGCTCCAGAATAACAACATTGTGCTAGAATGATTTGCTCTACCGAAGAAATCGTAAACACTGCAGAGCCGACTGACAGCAGTCATCGACAAACAGGAACTTCACTTTAGCTCAGTGAGCTAATGGACTCAAGCAGCTCACTTCACAACAATCTACTGTTTATCACTGCAGTTCACGGACTGCAAAGTGTCAAAGGTGAAACGTTAATAATATAGTTAAACGTACACTTTTTGTCCACTTACCAACGCAGTAACCTTTTACGCAGCCTCCTTCGCCGTTTCCGCTCTTGAGTTTTTTTGCCTGTTGGCTGAGGTGCGTTTGCTGCCACCTGCTGCAACGGAGTATAAGTAACAACAACGTGCAGAGCACACGGGCAATGAAAACGGCCGACAATAACGTATTGTTATTATTATTATTATTATTATATATTACTGGTTTGCGGTACCACTCAGTAGCAGCCGACCGGTCCTTGATTCAAAAACGTTGGGGACTGCTGCTTTAAAGAATGGGTCCCGAACTCCTGGTCTGTGGACTGGGACTGGTCCATAGATCATTTAGTCCTGGGCTGCAGCAGACTACAGTGAAATAATTAATATTATACACTATTTAAAGAAAATCTGATCATTTCCATTTACTTTCTTTATTTAAAGATAATCAAGTGATTTTATTTTTTAAAGTAATGGATCTTGCAGACTAATACCAACAGAATACGGTTTTCAAAATGTTTTATTTTGCAAATAAAACATTTATTTTGAAAAAAGATAATTGAAAAAAATTGGGATTACTGGGATGGGAGCCAATCCTAAATGTCATCAGACAAAACCTCAGGACAACACTGGAGGACGACTTGTTGAGACAATCCATCATCACAGATGTTCATTTCTGGTCTATTCTGACTGTTCAGTTGGACTAATATATAATCTACATGTTTATTAAATATTGAAAAAAATAATAATAGTAAAAGAAGCAGTATTACATATACTGAGTTAATCTGTGTTGTAACTAATTAAAGCAGATTAATAAATATGGCTCAGACAGTTTGTTGTTTCACACAAACTCTATATTTCAGCTGTCTTTTGATAACAGAAGAATATGTAATAGTAGATATAGCAGACATAAACCAGCATATGTTTTATTCAGTGAGCTTTTTTTCAGGTAACTCAACTGGTAGCCCTGTGTTCAGTAAATGCCAGCATCCGTACGTCAGGCTTGTGTCACCCTATAAGTTTATACGGTAAAATCAGCATAGAAGAAGTTTTTAAAAAACTGAACTTCAGCACCACTCTCATCAGATTCTCTTAAGATTTGTTCTTTCAAAAAAGACCAAGATTCGGCAGATCTATCATCTCTATAAGGACACAGATGTCGCTGTATGGTACTGCTACATAGCGTCAACAGTTGACTGTAAACAAAGTTACATAGTAATTTTGCTTGCTGAGACATAATAATAAAAAAACATTTCCACCATACTACACATAACGAACCACCATGCAGAGAAACAACAACAACACTGTCATTTTGTGTGGGACAAAATTAAACTAAAACTGTGTCACAGTAAAACTATACAATATAGTCTTGTGTTTATATGCATTTTCTTTTTCTAATTGAGTATGGTGAATTTATTTTGTAATTATCAATACAAATATATATTTTAATACTTGAAATCCACACAAAAAATTGATTCCAAATTGCTTGACCTTGTTGCTCAGGGTCAATTCTTGTGGTTTGGTATTTGGACATTTTAGCAGTCCCACTGGTCCGTGTTGAGGTTTTCTGAGGTAACTGCAGTTTCAGTTTCATACAGACTGAACACATGAGATCCTAAAAGCTATGGCAATGACATACAGTATAACAGTCTTGAGTTTCACTGGAAGCAAACTGATGTTTTGTGTCTTTTGTGTCCTACAGTAGTACCATCACATACTGTATTACTCTCATTAGTTATTGCTATTGCTTTGGTGCAACCCAAACATTCAGACGTTAGGCAACCGTTTCACACAACAAAGAATAACAGCATAAGTCTGTGCATCACCAATTCAAATGTGTTTTCACCCGCCATCAGTTTTTTTTTATGCTACAGAGATACCACTGAGTTTTGTCCGTGACAGACAGAGTCATAGAGAGGTCTCCACACAGGAGCTGTGTCTGTGGAACGACCTGTGGCTGTGACAGTTCTCGCTGCAGTGAACAATTAGCACAGGGTAGCAAAGTGCATCTTCATAGTCTGGAGGTTCCTCCTCATCTGTGTTGAGGCGCTGCGATAAACAGCGGGTGTTTTCACTGGGACTCTCTTGGTCATCCAGACTGCCACTCCTCCAGAAGCAGCTCCGCTGGGATCCGTAGCGGCGAGCCAGGGAGAAGCGGCTGCCGCTGAAGGGGATCCGGGAGCTGGCACCAGTGCAGATGCTGAGAGCACTTCTGGAGAACACAGAGGAACAGCTGATGGCACGATGGCAACGCTCACAATTCTGACGAACGCCACTGAAACTGGACGGACACTGGGCTAGGTCCATTAGGCCGGCCTCTGAATAACTGGGCACCAGCTGCTGATTGGATCGAATGTGCCACTCCAGCTCAGTACTGTCAATGGTGTTCACTCGTGGAATACGGCGCCAATATGGCCGCTCATCGCACGGCGTCACGGGGAGGTAATCGTGGCCAAAGAGCTTCTCTACGCGATAGTGAAGGTACGCGGTGCGGTACTCAGTGAAGACTCTGAGAGGCCAGGAGAAGGTGAGGAACGACGCAAACCAGAAGACGTAGTGGGACAGGTACCAGGGTGGACGGTCAGGGTCAGACAGCACCAGGATGTACTCCTTGAGGTCAATGTTCTTCAGGTGCATGCCCTCCCTTGCCTCCATGTAGTCATCGAGGCCCTCGTTGTCGGTGAAAAACCTTGCTCTCTGTGTGAGGTAGGAATTCTCAGACTCCACATTGGCAAAACTAAAACACTTGGTGAAGCGCATCTTTGTCAGGGCCGACTTCTCCAGACCCAGCAGCTGCTTGGAAACATCCTTCACTCCACAGTGGCTGTAATCAAATTCGGCCTCTGCAACATGGGTGTTGACGCGTTCGTGGTACACCTGGGTACTCGTGTAAGGGTCCCCGTTACGGTAGCGTGTGACCTGGCGTGTTCGTCGAACATAGTGGTAGCTTATGGCCTTCCACCAAATGCAGGGCTTGGCTTGCTGCATCCTCTGGATGCGCTCAGAGATGCCTTCCACGTCCACCTTGTGCTGTAGCTCATTCTTCACATGGCAGTGCCAGCACTCCACCAGGTAGACCAAATAGAGCATGCCCAGTAGGGCCAGAGGGATGTAGATGTAGCCGTCAGAGCACGGGGTGTCATGGTACATCATGGACTTCCCTTTGAAGGCACTGTCAAAGGTGAGGCGGGTGACCTTGGTGACATGACACCACACCATGGCTCCCATGCAGCCGTACATTAGAACAGACAAGAGCAGACATTTCCAGAAACTCTCCCGACACAGGGACTTGCTCAGGGACTGCTTCAGTGGTCGTTGCTGTTCAACCAAAATAAAGCACAAACAGAAGTGGTGATCAGTCACGTCAGGCTGCGGCCTGCGACATCTGTAGCACAGTCATTATCCTAAATGAAGCTGGACTGAATTTGACAGATGAACTAGGGCACAAGTACAGTACAGATTTGAAGTCACTGTTTCATGAATGGATTTCATAGGTAAAACCATTGTAAATAATAATAAATAAATGTGTGTAAAAAACAATAGGATGTAGTAAATAGGAATACAGTATAGCAAGTAAGAAATTAGTTTCAGGTTAAGATGTTTGTTTTTCATTGTTAGATGTTTGCTATTTACATTCTGCTGGAGGGGGGGGGGTTTCTCTGTGAAATAATCACTAGGGGCTGCGTTACTTACAGCATCACAAAAGGCAAATTAAGTCCAGTGATATTATTATAGTTTTGTTACATCAGATAACATAAGATTTAAAAACTCATTTATCATCACTTGATGATGTCCATTACAGTAAACACTGGACATACTGTATATACAACATCCATTCATTTTAAATACACACACATGCACCTATAACTGATGCTGACATGAGAGCACGATACGACAACAACAACAGTACTACCTCCTCCCTGGTGTCTTCTTCAAAAACAGTAGTAGTGCTGCTTTCACTCGCTGTTGCTGCAGCCGACGCTGGTGGGGTCATGGTGCTGCTCGGCAGCTACTAATGTTGTCAATAATACAAACAACAGTGTCGCTGATGACAGCAGGGCGTGGAGAAGAAAGATGTTTGAGCGGCGGCTTCTGCAGCGGCTCCTCGTCCGTCCAACGACGATCAGTGATCAGACCGCTGCCATTCACAGCTTCACCGCCCAACCATTAGCCGTATCTGTCGGCGTGAAATAGCCCTCTGTGTGAGGGCAATCTTTTTTTTTCCCTCCCGACGGCTGTGAAATTACCGTAAAGTGCACGTGAGTGCGTGCGTGTTTGTGCATCTACAGGGAAGCCCGCATCCTGCCTCATTCTGTGTAGCACAGCTGTCAATGCGGCAGTAACATGATCGCAGGTGGTGCTGGTATTAACCGCTCGTTATTACAAAGCCCACGCGCCCTGGCCCGCAGGGAGCGGTGTGTGTGTGTGAGAGAGAGAGAGAGAGAGAG